ACATTTTTTGTGTATGGGAATTAGATTTAGGTGGGCCAGTATTGTGATCTAAAAAGAAATATAAAACTTTCTTAAAGGTAAGCCATAGTTACCTGATCCATAGCGACAATAAAAAAATTGTACAAAACATCCATGTAATATATCTGAAAAATCTTTAGTAAGGCCATAATGGTTAATAAACTGAGGGATAAATAAATAGATGCATATAGCCAATGTTTTCAAACCAAACTAGGTGATGACCTTGGAAGAAGGAAAAACAGATAACAAAAAACAGGCTGTTGTCTTTTATTTTAGTGTGAAAGGAATGAAGTATAAAAACATAAAACAGATATTGTTTATGGTGCTATAGTTAGGAAAAGAGGGGGATCTTGCTTACAACTCTAGGAATGCAGAGTTAGAGGTGTCAGATTGGCCCTCCTAAAAAAGTCATCCACCTGCTTATTGACTATAGGAGGTCTGCATTCTTTACAGGAGGAGTTCAGTGATTTTTGTAGTTGTGCATGCCACTAAAAGATATTTTGTCTACCTTTTGGTTCTTCATTTAGCTGGGCTAGCCTTCCACTGTACATTTATTAAAGTATATAGTCTAGATCACTTATTTCTTGTATGTCACAACAAATATTGTGCACTTGTTAATTAATTTTCACAAATCTTGAATTTCCACTAAGGCATATTTGACCAATTCTCCCTCTTAGAGAGTTTCACTTAGTAAAGATTATGAGTATATTACATTGGAAAAAAAAACACTCTCCATTCAAGCTCTCAATCTTGACACATTTTAGGGGAGGGAGGATGTCATATTAATGCACAAGTTATTGACTTTCTGCTTGATGAACGCTGCCTCAAGGGAACACTTTATCTTTTGGTCCTGAATTGTTTGCAGTTGATGATACTCTTAATAACCATCACCAGATCTATCATTTGAAGGCATTTATCTTCTTCTTCTCACTTTTCCTTAGCATCTGGTTTTAACATTATTACCATAGAAATACCTCCTTTGGAATAGTCTGAAATTTGTTGTCATAAAAATATTCGTAACTTTCATTTTCTTCTCTCTCCTTGCCTTTCTCACTGGGATTAATGTCTTCTTTACTTCTTTAGCACACTGTTTATCTCCTCCTGTTTTTGAACTCAAGAAAACAAAGCTATCTAACATCATCATTACTTTACTAAACACACTGGTCGTTGTTACTTTTTTCTTTTTATTAATTCATTAATCCTTATTTTTCAATTATGGATGTGGGTTTTTTAGCTGTGAAAAAATGTGTTTATTTTTAGCTAACAGAATTTCATCTGCATTACTACAGCTCTGGCTTCAAATTGTTACTGCAGATGTCTTCTCTTTTTGTCTTGCCATGTATTAGTTGTGTATGTTAAACAGATACCCAGACAATATGTATCTCTGTCTGACTCCTTTTCAAATGCAGTTGTATATTTTCCAAATTCAGTTCTTACAATGGCTTATAAATTATAAATTTCATTGTAAATGTTTCTTAATAGAATCATCAAATGCTCCTACATAGCTATTTTAGTAATTTATCTTACTTTTTCCTTCAGAGTCTGCACAAAGACCTGCTATTATTGTCCTTTCAAAACCCACTTTATATCTAAGTGAAGAGGGCTAAGGTGATTGAAGTCCCATTGGGATATTGCAGACATGTTTGTTGCTGCCCAGTTTCTGCCATCTTTTGCTTTTGTCCTTCATTTGTATGGTTCTATTGCTATTTTTGTGTGTTTTTACTTTCAACTTTCCAGAATCACTGGGAGTTGAGCAGTGAATAAAATAAAGAAACAAACAAACAAATATAAAATTGTTATTTCTAGCATCAAGTAACTATTGCATAAAATTGGAAAGCAGTGTGACGTCTGCTTTAACAGGCTGGAGGTAGGATGATGAAAGCCATCCAGATAGTCCTTGACTTACAGAAATTCATTTAGCGACCATTCAAAGTTACAATGGCACTGAAAAAAATGACTTATCACTAATCTTCATAATTAAAATTGTTGTAGGATCCCAAGATTACGTGGTCAAAATTAGGGCAACCAGCATGCATTTACAACAGTTGTAGCATCCCAGGGTCATGTGATCACAATTTGCAATTTCTTAGCCGGAAAAGTCAATGGGGGAAGCCAGATTCATTTAACGACTGTGAGTCATTTAACAAAAGGTTGTAAATTCAGACACAACTCACTCAACTATCACCTTGGTTAGCAAGGGAAATTCTGGCCTAATTGTGGTTGTAAGCTAAGGACTACTTGCACTGGCAAATGCAAGAAATTTCTTTTCTGTAAGTCAGAAATGGAAGTTTTCTTCCAGTCCTTCTATTTTTTGAGAGTTTATGACAAAATTACCTTTCTATACTCATAAGTTGTTGCTTGTTAATGGGCATTTATTAGTTGGGAGGTATGGAGAGTTTGCATGTCAGTGATAAAATAGCAAAGCTGGCTGAGGAATTCTGGGAGTTGAAGTCCACAAGTCTTAAAGTTGCCAAGGTTGAGAACCCCTGCTGTATATGCAATGAATTCCAAGATTAATTTTACCAGTGTTATTCTATCAATAAAAGTGAAACTAAGTGAATGACTTCTGATAGTTACAGAATCAAAGTATCTGCTTAAATAAAATATTCACTTATATTTAACATAAATCTCAGTCTGTCTGGTCTCTTCATATAACAGACCTTATAATATAGCTGGATGTAATAAACATATAGGGTATAAACGTGCCACGAAAAAGTGAACTTTTTCTTTGCTAATATTAAAGCTTAAATAAATTTAGAAATATTTAGTATTTTTAAATATTCTGAAATATTAATATAATAAAATCTGAATTTTTTCCTTGATTTCTTATTAGTATTATTTCACATAGTAGAATGTTGGTCTTATAAACAGCTATCATTATTAAAATCTCAGAAAGTACTTAGTGCATTTTTTTTAATAGGCAGAGAAACTCATCCAAGTCCAAATATCTTTGATCCAGGAAATAAGTAATTGGTCAGGTAATCCTACGGCTTCAGGAGAATATAATTGAATCCAAAGGTTCAAGGCACTGACCCAAGCCGTAATCCTTCTGGTTGAAAGTTAAGCTTCAGGCTTGGATGCAAAGGCCCACACAATTATTAAAGCACAAGGGAGCTTGCCCATACATTGTTTACAGGAACTGTCACAGCAATTCAAAGCAACATTGAATAATAAGCTTGACCTCAAAGTTCTTAATGCTGACCATACATAATATTAAACTTTTGTATAATAAAAAGGAAAAAAAATCTGGATGAGAAGTCAGAACTGACTTCTATTCTCAAAATCTGGGTGGCAAAACAGCTGATTGTTTCTTTCTAGGAAATCTATTCACCCTTAGTTTGGCATTGGCACTAGCAACAGTCCCAGACCAGGTTGGGGCAGCAGTATGCTATTATCAGTGTGAGTCTGCAGACATATATAGACATTATTTTGCACATCATCAGGTGTGAGATCTTATTTGCATTTAGATCCAAGGGGCAGCTTAAATCTGTTCTTTATGTACAGGTTTCCCCATTTCACAGCAGCATCCATGTCAGGACTGCATGACTTTATTACTGGGGTGACAATAGATTTTCTCAAAGTGATATTATTTGGACACTTCAACCTACCTTATCTGGCAGCCATAACAACTATGAACCTGATCCAGCTTAATGAGGGACAGACACAAATGAAACTAAGGAGCTCAGGCAGATGTAGATGGGAGGAGACACCTCAAATGGAAGGTGTCCACCTGCCTCTGGAAGAAAACGCATCTTGAGTCTAACTGGATAGACTAGTAAAGGGACCCCACAGTTTCAATAATAGTGACTAGTATTTGGATCTTTGCCAGTCACATTTCAGGTCAATACAGCTAGTCCTCGACTTACAACAGTTCATTTAGTGACCGTTTAAAGTTACAACACTTGATATTGTCCTCCTCATTCCATAGGGTGGTTCCACAGGAATGGATGATAGAGACCTCTACTATACAGAATTATCTCAGAGCTGTCTTTTCCCCACTTCATTTTAACATCAATTTTTAACAATAATGGCATATTGATAGTCAGTATTATCAATTCTTAAAGTTATAGAAGAGAAAGAACTATAGGATTGATTGTTTTGGTATCTATAAGGATACCAAATTACTTTACTTGAGTAAAGTAATATTTCTTCACGTTGCATTAAGTCTGTTTCATTTTAATATATAACATTTTAAAATAAACAAATGAGGATATTTTATATTTCTGGAAACTTTAAAATAAAAGTACAAATCCATATTTGAAACAGACACTCTCTTTCTGTTCATATACTCATACCATATCATTATTAATCAGCTTAAAATCTTTAAAACTCCAGGAAGCAATTGTTTAGACTAGATGGCAGGGAAGGAAGTTTGATGTAATTATAAGAAGTAATAATATCTGGGCTCATGAGAGATGAAATAATAGTCTAAAGTTGTTTTCTCATCTAAAAACAAAAGGCCTCCACTCTTGACACAGTTCAACACACACGTGAAAAAGTCATGCATTACTGCCCAGACTCATGTGATAACCTTTTGCAACCTTCTCACAAGAAAAGCCAGTGAGGAAGTCAGATTCACTTAAAAACCATGTCAATAATTTTACAATTGCAGTGATTCACTTAACAACTGTGGCAAGAAAGATTGTAAAATGAGACAAGACTCACAACAAATGTTTCACTTAGCAACATACATTTTGGGCTCAATTGTGGTCATAAGTTGAAGACTACCTGTTCTTATTTTATTCTCAGGGCATTTCCAATTTTCTTTCAGATTTTGCTTGGTGTTTTTTTTACTTAATTGTGAAAAAAATATGCTAATATAGAGTTTTTTTTCTTTTTTTCTTTCATGATGCTTATAATCCAATCATTGCAGCCTTCCTTGGATTGGACAGAGACATAAATAGTCCCTTTCTGCTAATCTGATTTGACATATGGCAATTTATTTATATTCCTAGGTCACTGTAACATTGTGTAAAGAAGGACTTGTATGTAGACAAAACAATGGACAGATATGATAATTGTAAGTATTTCTTAACCTCCATTATTTATTATTCTGCAGTATTCTTACTAACTGGCATAAAAGAAACATCCAGAAGTAGTCAAGGAAATATAATAGATGACAGGCTGAGCTTTTACTTTCTTTTCTTGTGTAAATAGAATATGAATAAACCACAATTCTCACAAGCTTTCCCAATCCATGTTGGAGAAGAAAATTGCTACATCTCATTCCACACGTATGAAAGTATCTTCTGTAACTATCTTTATTCTATGTTCCATATTTGGTTTCGATGCCTTTGAATCTTAGCTGGTCCGACCAGATTTAACTTTTTATGATACAAAATCTATGTGAAAACTTTTCAGATGTGGTAAAACAATACCTGGTGATGATCACAAATGAGTTTAAGACAGATTACTCATATTGCAATTTTAATTCCACATATGTTTACTGAATGTATTTGCTTTGAAAGCCTCTCTTTATATGTATCTGGTATTGTCTTGAGTAGAATTTAATTTAGCTTCAGGATAATACACTATTTTGCACTCCATTTCTGCATTGTATTGAAAGTACAAGATTGTATTTAAGTGATTTATGATGTCAGATTTTTTTTTCCAAAAAAGAGTATGGCATTTTTGCATAATATGTTCAATTTTAGTACATGTGCTGCCAAAATAATCATAGAATGACACTTACTTTTGATAGCATCAAGATCACAATCTGTTTTAAGAAAAATATTTAACAAGGTCCTGCTGCATAGCATACTGTATAAAGCTCAATTCAAGATTTTATCCTGCACAAATCCATGAGATTTATTTTCATGTGGAAAGCTTAGCTGACCAACTTAAAGTTTCTAGGGTGAGATCTTTAGTTGCTGGTAAAGTCAACAATGTCTCCTTTTCTAGTGACCTGAATCTTATTGATCAACCCAGAAGACTTTTTTTTAATCTTTGTAATAGGGAAGCATTTTATTTCAGCTAGAAATATGAAGACCATACTTATCTAAACAGAGTTATATTTAGTGCTCCTCAAATAAAGAAGAAACATGAAGTAGTAAGTTAGGAACTTACTTTCTACTTAGTGTAAAAGCCCAAAGAAAGAGTCTTGTTTTTATATCATGGTAAAGTCAGGCAATTGAGCTCCCTCTTAGACACTTGGAGGCAATTAGGAAATGCTACCTGATTTACTTTACTTTTTGGTGGAAAGAAGCATGTTTTTGTCTACTTTGGCCTCAATAATAAACAGTAATACAAATTTGAATCCGTGCTAGTTTTTCAGTTCAAGGCTAGCCATAGATGCCAATTTTACAACTTTTTTCCTAGACAAGCCTTGGAAACTTCCATTCTTTATTCATTTTAACAAATGAAAAAGTATCTATTATAAGAAAACCTGACAGAAAATGCTCCACTTGGTGCAAGCTTAGCATCTAGAAATTCTGTGGAAGTCTTGCTCTCCGACAAGCTGTTCCATGTATAATATGAGGTATCATTTCAGCACTTTCAAACTGCCAAATATCTCTTTCTCTCTCTGGCTCTCAATGTTTGACAAGCAAACAAATTAATGAAGGACACGAGAGGTAAATGAAAACATGTCACAGAATAAAAACAAAGTTCAAAAGCTCTTAATAAATTAAAATTAACAAAAGCAATTTGCAGAGTGTTTTATGTATGTGACAGCAACAGGGTTTTATTGGTGTGATATCAGAATTTGGCTGTCTTTGGCCTGCTCTTCTTGGCAGCACTTCTTCCAAGACATTATGCGAAGACTATGCCAGCTGACAGAGTGGAATGCTGTGGTGGAGGGTGGTTTTCCTGAGTGCTGGATAAAAAAGGGAAGTTAAGTAAGGCTATAGAAATCTTTCATTTAATGGGAAACTTATAACTCTCTACTCCAGTAACTATTTCCATGACCCGGAGAAAATTGCGAATAAAGAAATGAGAATGAATTAAACTTTGAAATAACATACTCGTCGATTTTTCTTTCACTTTCCTAATGATATCATTTTAACAGACACTATAATGTATCTTTTTTCAGCAGCCCACTTTAAAACAGAGTGCTTGTAAGTATATCTGAATTGGCACATTCATAGATTTACATGCTCTGTGCTATTTTAAACCCTATTAAAGTAATCAGTTAGTCATGTCTAACTATCCACAATAAAATGGATTAGACAAATCAGCTGATCAGATGTAGAAATTGCTTCAAGGGCTTTTTCAGTCTTGCCTCTCATTTAGAACAATTTTCACATGAATCAGTGTATTAAACATAATTACTATATGATTAAACTAATTTGCACATTACATCAATTTTAGAAGAATTCCTAGAAAGTTTTACAGCACCTAAAGCTCTTAATTATAGCATTTCACAACTGTATCCATGTTACAATTTTGCGAATATTGGATTTTTCTGTTAATAAAGCAACTTCTAGATACGGTATTGTCATTCAAAAACCATTTAATACTATCACTAACTTCTCAAGAATGAAAAAAATACTTCTGTTTAGAAAAGGACCGTAATCTTGTTATTTTATGTGTGAGTGATATTAATATGATTTACACATCAATTTATCTTTCATTCATGAATATTGTAAAATATTATAAAAATTCCCAACTCTTGTATCAATATCAATGCTCAGCAGTTTGGATAGTGAAGCAACTTAAATATGCCCTCTGAACTTTGAGAGAATTTATACGATCAACAGCTTCCCTTCCCGCTTCTCTGTTGTATATTTTATAACAGCTGAATATGAAATGTAATATGCATTAAAAGCGTTAAATTGGTTCCATTCATTATAACTCAACAATTCATTCTCTAATAGTGATGGTTTCTCATTTATGATGTAACCACATTATATATCATTTTTATATGACTTGTAAAAGAAGAAAAGGTCACCTTCCTCTATTCTAAATTCCGTAACTATCACTAAGGAAGAAAACAGTTTCTTATCTAGAACTATCTCTAGGAGTGCTCATCATTTTCATGAAAATTCTCTCTTTCTCCCTGCCCAATACAGAAAACCAAAGGAGCATAACCCCTTCCCTAACTGCATAGGATAAAAGAACCATATTAATTGTTCTTAAAATCATTACCTAATTATATTTTAACTAAAGTACTTTTTAATATAAATAAAATCATATTAAATCAAAACAGTCCACTATGAATGAAGCTCTTCTCAGGATTGCTTAAATTTGGAGCTTGAATCAAATTTGTGCCAATGCACATGGGTAATATACTGATAGCTCACCTGGAGCTGAAAGCAGACATGAATATTTGGAAAAAAAGTACAACTTGAAAATCTTCAGCAGTGGTCAATAATCCATGATGATGAGAAACTTCAGCAAACAGATCTTTTCTGGGCTTCCTACAGCATGTATCCTTCTGAAATGTGGCATAATAATGGATATATGAAAACAAACTACCAGACATTTCGCAACACATGCTAAAACCCATTTTAAACTGGTGGCCATTCCTGTACAAAGAAAAACTGAAATCAGATGTACTGATTTATAATGATTTTAGATTTGTAATGATATTCCTGGAATAAACAGGCTTTAATAGTTTTGTGTGAAAGAGCCATACTTATTTCTGTAAACATTCCAAAAACAGAATGCAAGATGGACTTAACATTTCATTTAATATTGGATATACCTTAATATTAATTGTACATTTTCTAAACTTCCCATTCTTTCAAATGCCAAATTGCCATGTGAGATTAATCCAAGAATTAGAGGTTGTAGTCTAGGATATTATGTTTTATTAAACATAATAATATATATACATCTCTAGAGGAATGCCAATACAGAGGGCAGATATCATGACAGAGAAGGCTCTCTTCCTGTATCTCACCAGCTGACACACCTTAGTTGACAGGACTTGGAGTATACCCGCATGTGGGATCAGATGAGGCAGGTAGAAACAATTTAGAAGAGTCCATAAGTAACCTGATCCCATGATGTCAAACCCTTTAAAAGAATTTAAAAGGTGATAACCAGCCCCTTGAATTGCACCCAAAGTGCCCTGGTAGCCAATTCAGCCCACAGAAGAGAAATGTCACATGGGCCAAGGAACAAGACCTACTAACCACCCACATTACCACATTTGGCACCAACTGAAGCATCCAACTTTTCTCCAAATATAAGGTGAATTGCAGGCTTCTAATCTATAGGTCTCTAGGCTATAAATGACCATGAGTAGAATCTCCCAGTCCAGTACAACACAACTGATGCATAGTCCAAAGCTGTCCAAAAGTCTTGCTAGCCATGACTACCATCTGCTCCTCAGGAAGAATCTATGAGTCCAGTGGGAAATCTAGATTGTGCACTGATTCTGAGGCAGGGAAGTCCCATCCAAAACCAGAGATATCTCTCTGGAACCAGGTTGTTCAAAAACCCACAATACCCAGTCTTGCTAGGTTTGAACTGAAGCGTGTTGTAGCACATCCAGGACCACAACCACTCAGCAATCTAAGTTTTGCCAGCATTCTTTCCCTGTGATTATTTTGCCAATTGAAAGCATACAAATAAACAACGGAATAAAGATGATGAGATGCAATGATGAGATAAAGATTCACAGCTTGAGCTTCCAATTACATGCTATCCCCAAGCTTTTAGTTATTTCCCAGACGTCTCTAAAATTTGTAACTAATTTTTATTTTAAAGAGCAGAAAAGGGAAACTGTTAAATACATTGAGAAAAATTGCATTTATTTATCAAATTTGGTCACCACCTATCTCACTATCCATATTAAGTGTCTTCTTTTAGTCACAATGAGTTTTTGTTCTGTCTCATTTATTTTTTAATTTGGTGCTCACTGCATATTGGCTCCTGGCATACTGATACCTCACCTGTAAAAATATGCACAGTCCTGATTGACATAAAGTATTTGATGCAGAATTTATAGTATTGTAAAGCTGAGGAGAAAATGTGTCATTAAAATTCAAAGTAAACCATTATTAATAAAATGTTTTTTAAAAAATCAATATTTTTTAGTAAAGGCCAAATAAGGGCAAGCTGCTAATTGCCTGC